GTGCACCTCGCGCGCGGGTTTTCTGGGTTGCTTTCTTGCGAAGGTTTCTTGCGTCCGCGCCTACACTGTACACGCCCCTGCCGTTGCTGTTGCTCACTCAGCTTCAGCGAAGATGCGCGAGGGAAGGAGGACAAGGCTGCCGTCATCGAGTTCTTGACGCCGAAGTCCGGGCGCACCACGGCCTATCTGGCCAAAGCGAAGAAAGAAGTCCCTGTCGTGCCGAGGCTCGCAGAGGACTCGGAGCCTGCGTTCGACGGCACGATCGATCAGTTTCGAGAGGGCGTGAAAGACGAGAAGGCTTTGGCGAGGCTCCTGAACAAGGTGAAGGTGTGCACCAAGTGCAAGAAGCCGTGCGCCTTCTCGCTGAAATGTTGCAACGCCTGCGGGGCCAGCTTGGCTGACGTTTCGGTATCTTTCAACGATAACATATTCATGGGCTTTGTGCACGGTGTCAAAATGGGCAAGTTTCCGTACACGATATCTGTGCGATATCAAGACAGCAAGTTCATATGTTTCGACGACCCGCTCTCGATGTCGTGTTGTCATTTGAACGCCATTCCGACTGATGTTTATTGTGCGGATTGGCGGTTTCTATTACTCAACCCCGCCAAGGGGTTAAAACTTGTTCAAGATCAAAGTTTGCTGCCGCTCATGCCCGCCATGGCGCTTGGGGCAGCTGCGCAGCATCGCTGGGGGATTCGGGTGTCGGGGGTGGGTGTCTGGCTAGTGGCTTACAGGGCGGTGTGTGGGGGGGCAACACAAGCACACTCGGGCCGCAACAAAGTGCGGTGGTGGATTTGTTCGAGATAGGTGCGAAGGTCGCGTTGGATCAATTCTGGGGCAACGAGGATTTCCGAAATAGAATATTCAACGGCGAGCAGAAGCCATTAAGTACGAAGGAGATCATGGATGTCACGTGTTGCGGTATGAATTTTCCGCCGTCGATGTACCAGTTACATCTTCAGTTCATCCACATGCCACTCACACCTTTTCATTACAACCAGGCCAGACAAGAGGGCCACTGGCACTACGCCCGCTTTTTCCCGCTGGAGTATGTGATCAAGGCGCTCGAGCTGGGGAACAAGGTGAAGATGCATGTGACCGAGAATACACCCATCGAGGACATCATGCAGAATATCCAGAAACACGGCGTGGTCTACGACAGTGTACACCGGGAGTTCTTGAACAAATGTTGGCGTTTGCAGGAGCGGTTTGCGCCGTGGGCAGAGAACGAGTTCGAGTGCCAGATCATAAACGGACGCGTGTACAACATGGACGAGAAGAGGATGGAACCGGACTCTGACCCCAAAGCCATACAGGCTGACGATTCAAAGAAGCTTCAGAACTACGGGCGTCCCTACGATGATTCTGGAAAGCCCACAGGCACATACTACAAGTACGCAAAGAAGCCTGATCAGGTCGTCGATTTCCACTGAGCCAGCACAGGCTCGTCCTGGCTTTTTGCGCTCCCACGAAGTCCGGCTACCCCCCTCGCCTCCCCAGTCCTCGTCCTCCCCCTTTCTCTCTCCTTCATTTCCCGTTCCTTCTTTTTTTCTGTCCCATCCTCTTTCGCCTTGTTCCCTCCTCTCTGTCCAACCCCCTCCCTCATTCTCCTTTCTCCTCCCTTCTCCGTCCTCCCTCCTCCTGGAAAATGTGTTGGACTATGCTTGGCGCAGATCTTTCTGCACATGCGATGCCGTGTGCGAATAGTTACAGAAGTCAAGGCGGTCTTCGCCACTGGCAACTTTCTTGCCGAGCTTCTCGCCCTCTGCGGGGGAAGTAGCGATCCCAACCAGTGCGGAGAAACAGGTGTCGGGAATCAGGGGCTCGGTCAGCACCCGCAGACGGCGCCATCTCGCCAATCAGGCTCCAAGAACACCCCTCGGTGCCTCCCAGGTGCTCATCGCAAATGTGGATCACAAGCGCTGCAAGCGCCGAGCGGGATGGGATGCGATCGTCGTGCAAAAATCACACGCCCCTTCGTGACGGAAAAGAGTCTGTGCGGCAGATCCGCTCTTCAGTCCAGGCCTTCGGAGGCTCATTCTGACCGGGCCATGCAAGCGCAATCCCGAATGCAAGACGAGTCAGGGAGAAGGGGTCGAGAGTTCTAGGATTCCATGCCGCGAACAAATCTTGACGCCAGAGCTCTTAGAAGCGGATGATTCGCACAGCATCTTCATCCTCACTCATCTCCATTAGTTCTCGTTCCCTCCCTCTCCTTCCTCTTCGTCCTCGCACCTCCAGGTCCGTCGCAACTCGTCCTCCTCTTCATCCCTCCCCACTCACTGCCAGATTATACCAGCTGCCTGCTGCAAGTCCCACCACCGTGTCAGCCCAGCACCGTGGGTGGCGAGTGACGGAAAGCCGTAGCGCGTGAGAGCCGTAACATGTGACATGTTCTCCCCGTGGCGGTTTTTGAAATGAAAATGAAGATGAATGTGATGATGGTGACGAGGATGAGGTGAAAGAGGATGACCATGATAATGATGATAATGATGATGAGGGGGATTGTGGACCACGACTTGGATGGATACGACGGTGATGATGATATTGCTGATTGGTCGAGCATTCTCGCTCTGCAGATGCGCCGTGCAGGCGCCTGACACACCTGACCTGACCTGATGGTGTTGATGATGATGATGATGATGATGATGATGATGATGATGATGATGATGATGATGATGATGATGGCGGTGGTCGTCGTGGTGATGGTAATGGTGATGCTGGTAGTAGTGGTGGTGATGCTGGTGGCAGGATGATGAGGATGAGGAGTAGTAGGAAGAGGACGGCCGTTACATGTGACACACTGCGCCGTCATTTCTTGAGGAACTCTCATGGAATTTATCTGGACCATCTCGGGCTGCCTTGGGCTCCTGAAGTCAGCTTTGGGTATTCCTTGGGCCGCTTAGGGCAGTCGTGGGGTTCCTTTGGGCCATTTGGGGGCTCTCTTGGGCCGTCTTGGGTCCCTCCTGGCATCTTGCGGCCGTCGTGAGGCCTTTTTGCGGCTCGCTAAGGTCGTTTTGGGTCCCTCGGTAGACCCCTTTGGAACAGTTTGGGGTTCTTTGGGGGCCGTCCTGGGCCGTCTAAGCGCCTTCTGAGGCTGTCTTAGGCCGTCTGTGAGGATTATTGGGCCAGTTTGGGGTCCTCTTGAGCAGTCTTGCACCCGTCTTGGAGGCATCTAGGGCTGTCTGGAGCTGAACGAAGCCCGAAAAGGACGCCCAAGTCTTGCAAACGCTAAAAGACCATATACGATTTTGGCATCCTCGGGCCCTGCTTGGTTCCTCTTGGGGCTTCCTTAGGGCCGTCTCAGGGGCCTCTTGGGCGGTCTTGAGGCCGTCTTGGGCCATCTTGGAGCAATATTGGGCCGTCTTGCATGCATTTTGGGGCCATATTGGCGGCCTCGGTTGCCTGCTTCGGCTATCTTGGAAGCGAACCTCGGGAGCGCGGACCCAATGCTTTTTACTAGGGTCGCGGCCTCGCGAGCGCGGATCCTTGGCTTTTTGCCAGGGGTCGTGGTTTCGTGAGTGCGGTTTCATCGTTTTGACAGTGATCGTCGCCTCGGGCGCGCGGATCTATTGTTTTTACCCTGGTTCGTGGCCTCGGGAGCGCGGATGCTCCCGGGAGCACGGATCTTTTTTTTGCGAGGGGAATGACAGGAGGTAGTGCACGCGATTGCACGTGAGGGGAGAGGGGAGGCTTTCGACGACTACAGAAACTCTCCCAGACAGCCATTGGCATTCTACCACGCCTCAACGTGTCAAGGTGCACGGTGACGTATAGTCATATACCAATCGCCTCGGAGTCTGGGACCCCGATACATGGTGGACGTGGTCGCACGCCGGCCCCTGCAGGCCGAAATGGTACCTACGTCCACCGCTCCACAGAGGATCGAGCAGGACTTTACACAGTCCAATGTTTTTGGACAGGCCCGCTTTGGCTCAGGAAGGAGCTCAACGTTCCTCAGGCCATTCCATGGACTGTTCTTGTGGCGCTCCTCGTGCATGCCAGTCGCAGCTCAGGCCCCAAAAAATGGCGTCGTTCCTTCTCTGGGGGGCTCTACAGTGGAAGCCAATTCCAAGAAGCACCCTGCTTGCTTCCAGGATGCCCTGGGTTTCTTGGGTTTCGATGGTTTTGCTATGGAGAGCGTGACGCTACCACACAACAAATCAATGGACATCCTGGGGTCTCAGGGTTGGGTTTCTTGTGGAAAGTTTCTTGTGGGTCTCGTGATGTTGCTCTTGTCCTGTCCGGCATTGCTGATCCTGGTGCTGCGCGCTCTCACGGACAATCCGTGGAATTGCGTCTTCGGATCTTCGGGTCGAGCTCCAGCTGTATGACAAGATTCGGGCTGCCAGCTGTGGATCTGGATGTCTCTAGGCCCTCTGCCGCTCGCCAGGGGGGTGGGAGGGGGGGAAGTAGAACGAGGGCGAGGAGCAGAGGAGGATGAGGAGAACAAGGAGGAGGAGAAGGAGGAGGAGGAGGAAGAGGAAGAGGGGGGAGAGGGGGAGGGTGAGGCGGAAGGGGAGGAGCAGGAGGAGGAGGAGGAGGAGGAGGACAAGGGGGGGAGGAGGAAGAGGGATGTGCAGGAGGGAGGGGGAGAGGGAAAGAGAGGGCGGAAGAGGAGGAGGAGGCGTAGGAGGAAAGTGTAAAATCAAGACGCGACAACGATGTTTCAATCAACCTTCCTTCAAACTCCTTCTTCATAGATCCCTACAAGATTTTCATGGCGGGAAGTGCTCCGTTGGAAGACAGAATTTTCAGTCGTGCCCAAAAGCAATTCCTAGGAGTTCAGCGCCGCGAATCAACGGGACCTTTGCGCTCTGACACTCCTAAGTCCTGCCGGATCACCATTCCCGGGATTTCAACACCGCGAATCAACGTGATTGTTGCATCCTGAAGGGAAGAAGAGCAGAAGGGGATGGGGACGGAGAGGGGAAAGAGGTGGATTTTGGATTGGAGGGCGAGGAAATGGGTGGCACGCGCCCCGCTGGCTTGGTCAGGAGTGCCTGACCTTTCTGCCGGACATCCTGAGCTGCTTTGTTGCCATGTTCTGTTTCTTCCCCGAGGATGGCCTCAGAGTGGGGTGGAGCGCTGGGGAGCAGGGGGAGGAGGAGAGGAGGATCGCACTGTGTGTCTGTTGCCTCTTGAGGCCTCGGGAGGCTTCCAAAATGCCCTCCTGGGGGCCTGTGGATGCCTCCGGGATGCCGCTGCTCCGCGGAGGCGGAGGGTCTTCCTCCTCGTCTAGCGATGAGGATGAGAAGTCAGAATTACTCCAAGTGGATGAAGCAGTACCAGTTTGATCACACAGGGCGATTCGCCTAAGTCAGGCCGACTCTGTGCTTTCGACAGCACCCTTGCCCCGAAAATGCACCTTGTGAGCTCGTGGACCCGACCGAGAGCCTGGCCGATACGTGATGTCTTGTCGGTTCTTTTGACGATCTTGGAGTCGAGCCCGATGGTGCTATGACAATTTCGCTATCGTCTTCTCAGAAGGGTCATGAGGGAGGAGGATCACGATAATATCATGCTCCTTCATCTTCCCTTGCAGATAGGTCAGACGCCTCCTCATCCTCGTTATCCTCCGCTTCCAGTTCTTCAGGGAGAGAGAGAGAGAGAGAGAGGAATGGAAAGAGGGAAGGAGACAGAAAGAGTCAGAGACAGAGACAGGCACAGAGACAGGCAGACCGACAGACAGACCGACATATATATATATATATATAGAGAGAGAGAGAGAGATGGAGAGAAAACAGAGAGAGAGAGAGGAACATAAGGCCGAATATTTGCCCTGAGCTGGCGCAGTTGCATGGATTCCCTGGCTAATCAATTTGAGCCTCACGGCAGAATACGGCAGAGTTCAGCGCAGTTTTTGTGTTCCAGCGTTCACACAGAGGCTTGTCACATTGGGGCTCATTAGGTGCGTCACAGAATGTGAAGAGGAACCCGATTTGGTTCCGATGGGGTATCGCGGGAGATGGGAGCGTCAGTGGTGGTGGGAGGAGAAGGAGGAGGAGGAAGCTTAGGGCCCAGACGCCCGCGGCAGTGCGCCAGCCCTAGTGGGCCGGCCACGACCGAAGTCATCTCTGTACACTCTCTGTTGCATCCTTTGGCATACCTCCACTATTTCTGTAGACGATCCCATCCTTCTTATCTTTTTCGCATTCAGCGTCACGCTGCACCATCCTGTGCTACAACGTACGGCAGCACGCGCCACCGCCACCACGGCTACGACTTCTACCTCGTACGCCCACACAGCTAGCACCACTCACGTGGTCATGTTGGCCTGCGATTGCTGCATTTTGTAGGCAATAGCACCTCGACTTCGTCGACCTCTCTGAACCCTGCCTGGCACCACAGGGAGAGGGAAGAGCGTGCAGCAGCACGCACACTACTACGAGTAGCATCAGCACTCGCACTACTCGACCAATCCACCTACCAGGAGCCACAAGCAGCACAGCTAATACTCAACCAACACCACAGCGCACAACAGCCACCAAGACAGACGACCGACACAATGTACGGCCACATTCAAACCCCACAGGCCAAAGGCAAAGGAAAGGGGAACTAACAACATCAACAACCAAACGGCAAAGGCAACGGACCATCCTGGCAGCCATTCGGGCACAGCGGATACGCCAACCCAGCACAACAGGCTCCGACCCATGACGCAGCACAACCACACCACCGGCAGCAAAAAGGGGACACTTATTATCACGCAGCAGCAATTGCACCATCTGGGTCACACCAGCCACACATACCAGAGCAGCAGCGCACAGCCACGCCAAGACCCTACACAAAACAACCACTGATCACACCAACTAAGCACAACGACTACGTGCCACAACCAAGCTGAGGCAGCAACCCATATCACACAGCATACGCCACGAGGGAGAGTCAGACTCTGACCGACAGCATACCAGAAGCATGCCACAACGACATTGCACACAGGCAAGCCTGAACCCACCCCCCTGGGAGTAGGAACATGTAATATTCCCAAGGCAGCCGAAACCAGGAAGCTCGCTACACACATGCTGGCAATGGAGAGCGCAGGACAAGAGGCAACAGAGCTACGTCATGCCCTGGCAGTCGTCGAAAGGCAGCTACTCGACTAGAATTCAGAAGCCGGCAGGCTGCAATCTATACGCAATCGCACCGACGACTACGCAGCATGCACAGAGATCGCGGCAGCAACCTTGAAGCAGGTTCAGCAGCAACATGAGGACAACGTACACAGGACCAAGACATGCCCACTAGGACAAGGAGCTAATCAACTACAGACAGCACACACCCAGCTCACGAGCACCAGCACCACCTGCACCAGATGTACGACTCAACGCATACCCCCGCGAGCGACCACCATTGGTTCCAGTCAACGCACCCACACCACACGCGGACAAGGACTCAAGGATACGTAAGATCAATCTGCTACTTACTCAGACAAGCATGCGACGAACTTCGCGCCAACGACAGGACAACCGCTGAGCTCAACGCGGCCCAACAATTCATAGGCAAGGAGGCAAGTTTACAACAACAGCTGCAAGCACGAGACGAGACCATGCGACAACTTCAAGCAGTTAACGACCACCTGTCCAACGATTACTGCGGGTACCGTAAGCACACGCAAGCACTTCGACAAGCAGAGATACGATTGCAAGCCAGCAACAGAGATCAGAAGCGAAATCAGGAGCGACAATCGCCGAACTAAGACCAGGCTTACGAGAAACCAAGCGCCGCCTCAATACCAGTGCTTCTCACCATCAGCAATGTTCAGGGCATTTTCTGCGCAGTACAAAATACAGCAACGCCCATGCAGCAATCCATTCAGCAGATGCACCAGCGCCACAGGCTTCAGCCAGAAATATTTGCCCAAACAAATGCCCCATACATGTTGCTGACAGAACAGAAATACATTATCTGGGGCAAGGCCTAACACATGAGATAAGACAACCCATGTGGCATGTGCAACAGCGCAACGACCACGTATAATAATGTGCAACATGCGTAGCACAGCGAGCACAGAAGCAGCACCAGAAGCAGCACAGACACCATCTTCACCGCAGCTAGTTGACTCATCACCAGAGCCACCAATTACACAGACGGTGCACGACCCACCATGAGCACCGCAACTGCGAACGCCTCCCATCACACCACGGAGATCGATATACTCGACTGGCACACCACAATCTCGTACACCAGAAATAGGAGCAGCAGCGAGTACACACTCACTGCCTATTGGCGGCACGCCGCAATGCGTCGCGACTCCAGCACTAACCGAAGCATTGTAGCACTTTACTGAAGTGGAACCACTGGCCATTCAGCGCAAACCTACGATTTGGCCGCGCCCCAAGTAATCGGCCGCCCAGGCGCGCACCCAGGCGCGCGCCAGCGGGGCGCGATGGCAACGTAAATTTTGATGCGCGGCCGACGGCAACTCCAGGGTCACTAGATGCAACACACTAGCAGCCGAGTTTGCCCGAGCGGCAAACAGCAGTTGACCCGAGCACCTTCAATTTGCCGAAAGCCAAGAGATTGACGCCGCTAGTTTATTGAATCCCATGGGGCGCGCAAACTACCGTGCTAGCGACACAGGCGACCCATCTGTACCCAGGCTAAGACGGGCCCCCCAGTCAACAAGCTATTCCCAATCACCCGCTCACCTCCCCCCACGAAGCAAACAAAGGAATAACCTCACCCGCCATTTAAGAACTCCCCTTCCCCAAGCTGTCGTGAGCGCCGCGCCAAACACATCCACGGGGTGATTTCAGCAGAGCGGTACATTTAGCACCGTGCCAAAAAGCGAAGCAAAGCATTCCCCCCTGTGCTTGTTTTCAATATCTAGCTCTCGCCGTAGCGTTGCGCGCACTCGTTTGAAAGAATTGTGCGGGTCTACGGATTGCAGGATCTGCTTCAAAATGTGGTTATCGCCTTAGCACCGTGCGCATTCGTATTTGGTTTGTTTCATATATAAAAAACATGTCCACGAGTTTCACGGCTGGAAAGTTGCTCGCATTCAAAATATTTCTACTCGCCTCAGCGCCTCGCGCATTGGCTATCGAATTTTGCACGAGTTTCACGAATTGCGGGCAGCGCGGTTTCAAAGCATAGCTCTCGCGCTAGCGCCGCGTACATTCTCGTTTTGTTGAGACGTGTGCGCGAGCTCCGCGGATTGAAGGCGGCTCGTTTTCAAAATTCAGTTATCGCATTGGCGCCGCGCGCATTCGCTATGAAAACTTGCACGGGCTTCACGGGTCGAGGGCGGCGCGGTTTCAAAGCATGTATCCCGCCTCAGCACCGCGCGCACTCGTTATAAGAGTTTGCAGAGCTTCACGGATTGAGGCTCGCTTTTAAAGGATAGTTGTCGCTTCAGCCTTGCGCGCGTTCTTTTTTTAAGCAGTTGCATGGGTTTCACGGATTGAGGGCGGCGCGTTTCCAACACGTGTTGCCATCGTAACAGACGCAAATGCAACCGCCAGAAAAATAGCCACAGCGACATAATGATGAATAGAAGTGGTAGAATTTGTGCAGTAACAGTAATCAGGTTTCTCCCTGCCGCCTCCGCCCGAGGCGGTTCCTATTCTCATGCTAAGCGAGAAATTGACTCTGTCGGCTGTCCAAGGGGATGGCCCACCCTTGGGCATCGCCCCCGCCCCGCGTGGAACGTTATCTTCGCACCGCGAAGCGGCGAACATAAATATGCCCCGTCGGCGAGAAGCCGTAGTAGTGATATTGTGGCAGTGGAAGTGATATATGCATTTGGCCACGCATGGGGGTAGTAAGAACAATTGTAGTAGTAGTAGTAGTAGTAGTAGTAGTAGTAGTAGTCGTAGTCGTAGTCGTAGTCGTAGTCGTAGTCGTAGTCGTAGTCGCAGTCGTAGTCGTAGTAGTAGTAGTAGTAGTAGAAGAAGAAGAAGAAGTAGTAGTAATAGTAGTACTAGTAGTAGTAGTTGTAGTAGTAGTAGTAGCAGTCGTAGTAGTAGTAGTCGTAGTAGTAGTAGTAGTAGTTGTTGTAGTTGTAGTTGTAGTAGTAGTAGTAGTAGTAGAAGTAGTAGTAGTAGTAGTAGTAGTAGTA